ATCATCATCATCATCATCATCATCATCATCATCATCATCATCATCATCATCATCATCCAGGTTGGTGTAAGGTGGGTCTGTGGCAAATCCCAGCCAAAGATGATGGCTGGGAATGAAGGTAACTGTAGCTTCTCACATCTAGACAGTGTCACATTGGGGATCACTACCTTGCAGTATTAATACTTTGTCTGAAAGGCAGACATTCAGAAGAACAAAGCTTCTGTTTACATATACTGTTGGTAATAATATGGATTTTTCTTGGTGGGTTCAATGCTGATGCTCTAACACTCCTATAGTGAAGTTGCCAAGTTGGATCTTCTACCTCTCAGTGCTTTCCTTTTTGGTCCTATCCATCACAAATAGTTGTCCTTTATTTAAAAACAGCAGAATCAATAAGCATGTTTCCCCAATTTTATGGGAAGGATGCCAAAGGAGGAAAGATGGCTAAGTGGCTGAATTAATACCCACAGCATAATTAATAACCACAGAGACACAGCAAGGAATGGCAGGAACAGCACCACATTTACGAGCACAGTTTTTAACTACCGAGTGTTTATCATCTCTAAAATGACTAAAATTTTTAGTCATAATTCTGCTACAAAGAAAGTGATGCCTACTGATTTCTCTAAAAATTGATGATGCTTGGAGGAAACCCTTTGCTCATCACTGGTATGACATATTCCCAAACCAGTTTGCCATTATTCAATTCCTGTTCTCTGTAGATAGTTCATATTCACTTTAGATGCACAGTATTTTAATACGTGGATCGTCCTATTTTTCAGTACCTCCTGGCTCTTTGATCATCCAGCCTCCTATGCTCTGTCTGCTTACTTCATCAGCTTCCTGGAGTTGACTCAAACAGAGTGATTTGTCAGTCACCGCATATAGAGGAATCATGAATACATCAAAAGGGAGCTTGTGCTTTCTCTTGTTCTGACTATCGCTTTGTCTTTCTCTTGCAGAACTCCAGAAAGCACATGATCAAGAGAAGCTGTTCTTAACCGAATCCTATCAAAAATCTCAGGCATCTTTGCAGGTACCAGTTTCTCTGCTTCAAGGAAACAGAAAGCTCCAGATTCAATACAGTATGTCAAGAAGCCAGAAAAGATGGCATGGCCCCCTTAGCCTAATCCTAACCTTAACACAGTGGCAATTCAAAGTTATGACCGAATAAGGAGACTTACAGCCCATCCTCAAGGTTGCAGCCGTTGCAGTGTCCCTACAGTCATATGATCATGGTTTGGGCATTTACCAATTGGTTCACAATTACGATGGTCACAGCATCCCACAGTCATGTGATTGCCATTTGCAACCTTCACTGCTGACTTCTGACAAGCAAAGTCAATAGGGAAGCCTGCAGGAGGTTGCAAATGGCAATCACATGATGTTGCACCTAACAACCATGCGGGATTCACCTAATGACTGCAACTGGAACTGCCAGAACTGCCATTGTAACTCGGGACGGTCATGTGACATCACACTTTACAACCGCGTCACTTAGCAACGGAGTTCCCAGTCCCAATTACTGTAGTTAACTGAGGACTACCTGTATATGTTTGGATGCTTTGTGTGCATAGGTGTGAATGTCAGTGCTGGCTCAAGGGTATATAATGCTCCTAGGCCCCATTGACTGATAGCACCATCTCCTGCAGTTGCAAAGATTTGCATTTTTGGAATGATTTGGAAGGAGGGGTGGCAATGGTGTCCCCTAAGCTTTGGTGCCCTAGGCCAGTGCCTATTTGGCCATAGGTAGTTCTCATTACCGACTGCCTCATTTAGCAACTGTTTGAAGTTATGACTATGTAAAAAAAAATAGTTCTGCAACCAATTCTTGCATTTACAACCTTTGCAGCATCCCATGGTCATGTGATTACCATTCAGGCACTTTGCAACCAGTGTGCATTTATGACTATTGCAGCCTCCCATGGTCTTGTGATCACCATTTGCATGCTTCCCAACCTGCTTGGGAAGAGTTAATGGAGAACACAGAAGTAAAATCGTAAGTTGTGGTCATATGATGTTTCACTTAACGACCATGGTGATTTGCTTAACAACCAAATGGGAAGTGACATCGTAAATCCATCGTAGTCTTGTGATTTTCTGCTAAGCAACTGTGGCTCTGTGGTCACTAAGCAAGAACTACCTGTAGCCTAAAGCTGCCCCTGATAAATGTGCAAATGTTTTGGACTGAGTGGCATCCATAACATGCTGTGTTGACTCTAAAATGATGACAGATTCACAACAATGTCATCATGCAAGTACCACTATTACATTCTTGAGTCACAAGCTCCCTGGACTGTGCAGGGCACCAAGTGACTTTGAGCTATTCAGGATCTCAGCCCAACCAACCTCACCAGGATATTGTTGTGGGAATAAAATAAGGGAACCCCCCCCCCCCCTTATTTTAAGCCACTTTGTGCTCTCTGTGAAGACCAGAATATGAATACAAAAGCAGACAAACACAAACCAACATATGGCCTCTCCAGAGTCCTTTCTTTTTAGAAAGTTAAAAATGGTAGCTTACCATATTTGGTAGTATGGTACCAGGGATCAAAAAAGTTGAGATGGCAGCCAAAAGATTGAACCCCTGCCACTTTGTAATGTAGGTCATGTGTGCAACACATGTAAAAAGGATAGGCCTTTGATTGTGTAGTTGTGGCCATGATTTTGACATTTTAGACCTGCACCATCTTTTAATTCTCTCCTAATAATAGTTACCTCTAGCTGTGCCCACTTCTTATTAATTCCATTCTATCAAATGTCCCCCCAAGGTGGGGGGATACTTACTTCTTTTGTCAACAACATTGCAAAGTTTTATCCCATAATAATAACTATCTACCTTAATATTTACCTTATACATATTTATTTATTATAAATATTATCAATCAATAAATATTTGCCTTAATAAATACATACCTTATAAAGAAAACCACCTAAGATTCCAGCTTCTAGTTGGAATTCATTCAACCTACAAAGTCTAGCTTTAGACTAAGTCTAAGTTCCAGGCCTCTTGGTCACAGCATTGTTTGTTGGTCGGTTTCTTCTCCCATCCCCAGCTTTTTCACACGTATTGTACTCTTTTGTAATTATTCTTTGGTATTAATAAAAGTATTGCCCAACTATGGATTTGTGTTTTTTTTCCCTCTCATGGGCCCACATTTCTCTACTTGTGTGTGTGTTTAAATAAGACAGTTTGTGTATGACTGTGGTGGGGTATTAGTTATACACACACACACACACACACACACACACACACATCTGATAAATGAATCTGGATCCAGCTATTGAGAAATGCATCTATTCTGAGCTCTGATTATAACAAAGTACATGTTTGTACTCTTGAAAGCATGACAACTGAAAAATGTGTTACTAAAGATTGAAATATGGCCTGGGAAGATTATAGTTAATAGTAGAACTGATGGATTTGACAAATCAAAGTTTGCTTAAATAACTATGTAAACTGCTAACTGCTAATTATTTAATAAATTACTTTTGAAGCAATTGCCTATCTGCCATTACAAAGAAAAGAGTTACCTGTTGAGAATTATAGGACACAATACACTAAATCACAGCAGCATTATAGTTCTCTAATAATGATAAAAAAGTTCTAGACTTTGATTTGTGTTTTCATCGGCATTCCCCCACCTGGTCCTTTCCCAATGTGCCTTCCCACTCTGGCTGGTAATTATAGAATTCTAATTCCATACTTCTTGAGGGCACCAAGTTGGGGGATATAAATTGGATCATTCCATTATATATTGCACTTTCATGAGATGGGGGCCATGGAGGTAGGTAGGTACTGTGTGGAGGTAGGAAATTATTGCTGCTGTTCTGTTCTTGTTTGGGAACACCAGTGTCCTAATTAATGACCTATGGCATCTTCCAGCGTCCTCCGCTTATGATCGTGCTAATGTAAGAGTAACAAGGAAGGTCTTGTGACATCACAACAATAGCTGGATGTTACTAGATATGCTTTAAATCACTGGTGGAGAAATGTCCAGAGACAGAGACTTGTCTAGCATTCTGACTGCTATAGCTTCTGTATCAGGGATGGCAAAAGGGAGATTTGTCCAATAACATCAACCTTTGAGGTTCTGATAAAATAAAAAAAGAGGTAGCCAGTGCTGAAATCTACTCATCCCAGTACTATGGCACTGAGTGTGGAAAGCAGGGAAAATATATGTACATCTGGTGAGAGTCACAAAGTAAGACTAATTTAATCTGTCTCATCTTTCTGCTCCAGGAGACCATTGACAAACTGAGTTCCCAGCTGAAGGCCTTTCAGGAGAAAATGAAGCGGGTAGAAGAGTCAATCCTGAGCAGAGATTATAAAAAGCACATTCAGGTGACTTTATACTGTGTGGGATGTCTTGATCGCTTTATTCACAGAGAGTGAAGAGAAATTGGGTCCAAAGAGCAGGGTCTTCCAAACATACAAAAAAAAGGAGGGGGAGGACATTCATATGCTTTTGCTTTCAGCAGCCATTCCCCACTATCAGGTCATAAGAATAATTACTTTTTCCAGTTCCTATTGCTGCTTGGTTTAATGGGCTTGAAACTGTTTACAGGTAGTCCTCGAGTTACAACAGTAATTGGGATCGGAATTCCCATCACTAAGTGATGCAGTCATAAAGCGCAATGTCACATGACCACATCACTTAGTGACGGCAATCCCTGCAGTCCCCATTGCCATCATTAAGCAAAAATTGCAGTTCATTAAGCAAGCACCTTCTCGCAACTTCCTGCCAGCTTCCAATAACCAAAGTCAGTGGGGAAGCCGGTGGGAAGTTGCAAGTCCCAGGCAGCTTGCAAGCAGGCCAGCAGACAGGTGGGAGCTGCTGCTGTGGGGTGCATGAGGGTGTGCGGGTGGCAGGGATGCACGGCGTCAGCACAGTGGGGCTTGGGGTGACTGCTGCCAGGTGGGAGAGGATGCACAAGGGCGTGCAGGTGGCCCTCAAGGTGCAGCACAAGAGCAGAAGGGCTAGGGGAGGGTGCGCAGGTGGGGAAGACTTACCCAAGCAACTTGCAACCTTCCCTGCCAGCTTTGCTTGTGGGAAGCCGGCAGGGAAGTTTGCAAATTGCGATCATGTGACTGCAGGACACTGCAACTGTCGTAACTGCGAGTTGGTTGCCAAGCATCCAGATTGCGGTCACGTGTCCGCAGGGGTGCTGGGACAGCCAGAATTTCAAGGACTGGTCATAACCACCACTTGTTCAGAGCCATCGTAACTTCAGAATGAGGACTACCTGTATTATTATGCCACCTGACTCTCATTGACTCTGGGTGGCTCACAATAACCAACAAAGAAATTATAATTAAACACAATCAATCAATCAATCAATCAATCAATCAATATGGCATGTGCGATGAAGTGAGGGGTCTCCCTCTCCCTCATCAAAGGCCTAGGTAAAGAGCCAGGTCTTCACGGCTCTTCTAAACAGCAGCAGAGTGGGGGGCCATCTGGATGTGGTGGAACCTCATTCCAGAGGGCAGGCACTGCTACAGAGAAGGTGCGCTTCCAATAGATGACATCGCTTAATCAAAGGAAACCAGAGTGTGCCAACCCTGCAGGATTGAATCAGCCAAGCAGATGCTATGGGAGACAGGCGGTCCCTTAAGTAACCAGACCCTATGCCACGTAGGCCTTTATAGGTAACAACCAACACCTTGAATCGCACCCGGAAGCAAATTGGCAACCAGTGCAGCTCGTAGAGCAGAGGTGTTACATGGGCCACCAAGGCCTGCCCATTACTGCTTGCACCACTGTATTCTGGACCAGTTGAAGGTTAATGCCTTTTTGCTAGCCATTTTAGCAACTTATACTAGAAAAAAGGAACAGATCCCCTATAAATAAATAAATACATTTCTCCCTTTTTTAAAATAAAAATCTTTATAGGATTATGGGACCCCCAGCCAGTTCTGGGAACAAGAACTAGAGAGTCTGCATTTTGTCATTGAGATGAAGAACGAACGCATCCACAGCTTGGACAAGAAGCTGTTGAACCTGGAAATAATGGTGGGTTACTCATATTAATCCTAAGTATAACTGAAAAGACCAATAAAAGAGCTTTGCTGTATTTAAAGAAAGAGAGAGTCTGGAACAGCCTCTTCCAATGTTGTGCCACTGGGTGCAGTGGAATGAAAAGACAGGTATATAGGTAACTGCCTTATCCTAAGGGTCTTTCCAAATGACCAATTGTTCCATGCCCCAATTCATCTTGTCTCACAATTAAAATGAAGAATGGCTTGAGAAGCCTGTTTTAGGATATTTGGATGCAACAGGAATGGGCATTTCCATCTGTTTATGAATATGCAGTGTACACAGAGCACTGATAGGCCTTCACAGTTTCCCCTTCCTGGCCATTAGACAAGCACAGAAATATCTCAACCAATCAGTAGTCATCTACCAGCCAATAAAGGGATGACTTATCCTGCCCCTCTGATTTGTGGTAGTACAACAAACCCTTCTTTCTGTTCCCCAGAATAAGCAAGAAAGTAAACTGCAAGCCTTTTACCAACAGGCCATATTAGGATCCCTTTATGCAAACCTGCCATACCCCTTCTTGCCTTAGTGGGATAACAGAAGCAGGAACCCGCCCGGTGCCTCTTCCAATAGCTTCATAGGCTGCCCTGTGCAAGACAGGGCTATGATTCAGTGCCAGTTGTTCCCAGTTTGCACAAAGTCTCCCAACTGCTGCAAAAGCAGGAAGGAAGGACCAAGGGACAGGGTAAGCATTTTGTGATTATGTTGACTGATCACTAGGGGACTCAGTTTTCTCTGTGAGCAGATCTGAGCCATGTTTAGTAATACTCTACGTCAGATCACTGATAATACTCAAGATGTTTTATTTTTACTGGTAGGGGTTCTTCGGGGTTACAGATAGGCATTTTCCAGCCTTAACTGGAGCAGGTGGGAATTGTATCTGGACCCTTTGACCTCCCCTGCAAGTCATGTGTCTTTTTGCTAAGTTATATGCTAGTGTTGGGAACTGTAATTCAAGACATTTGGAAGGTGCAGGATTTGGAAAATACCCTACAACCAGCAATGGTCTTCAGTTTCCTACAGATATGAGGATAGAGACCAGAATTTTACTAGTGCGCTTATAAATGTACAGTTTCCAGGATGTAAATGTGTTTAGGATTATCACATTCCCATAAAGGTCTGTGCCTTGCTTTTTCGTTATATGACTGTAAACTTTCTGCATGCTGTACCTTTGTTGTATCTGAGGTTTGCTCGCCCTTCTGGTCTCTTTTTAGATGGAGTCAAACTTGTTGCTTGAAGAGAAAATTAAAATTCTACAACAGGAGAATGAAGATCTCCAAGTACGGATGCAGAATCACATGACAGTGACAAGGTGGTATCTTCACTATAGGAACAATCCTTAAAGATGACTCCTGTTTGAACACTTTTCTGTGTCAGTGTAATCTGATGACCATGGGAAATGTTTTTATTTCCCCAAAGTCTCACAGTAGCTATTGCACTAAGTAGCATTCCAAACATGTGAGGAACTACTAAATTCTTGGGTGGTTTAAAGAAATAGATGCTTATTTTCAAGTATATTTTATGTGTCCCTTTTTATCCCCCAGTCAGTAATTTGTCCTTCCCTTTCCGAGTAGAGCAGGGTGAGTGCTATGTGGCCTCCATGTGTTTCTAAACTGCAACCTTCCATTATTCCTCCCCAATCGATAGACTAGCTGGGCTCAAGCAATACCTTAAGCCAGTGTTTCTCAACCTCAGCAACTTTCAGAAGTATAGACTTCAGCATGCTGGCTGGGGAATTCTGGGAGTTGAAGTCCATACTTCTGAAAGTTGCTGAGGTTGAGAAACACTGGCTTAAGCCATAATGGTATTACTCTGGTTTTGTCTTAAAGTGTTTTATGACCCCAGCCGCTATGGTTTGTAGATCATGGTTTATGACTTATAACGATTTATTCAAGAAACCATGATAAAGGAAATAATGGCTTATCATCTTGTGCAGATCCAGGCTAGGGCTGATGACAATTGGAATTCAATAACATTTGAAGAGCCACAAGTTACTGATCTCTGCAGTGGAGTCTGCAGTACTTCTTGAGTGTAGAATTAACTGGGATTGCCATTTCTGTTGCCTCAAGGACCTCCCTCCAAAAGTGTTGGAGGCCTGTACTTTGGGGAGGGTGCAAAATATCAGCAATTTTAAGGGGTAAAATGGGTGCCTTAAATATCTGCAAGGAACCAGGCACTCATTTTGCTCCATAACCCCTAACCCCTCCCCAATGGAAAAAACAGTAAAAATTATTGGCCCCACTCAGTAAGGCTCTGGAGGCCACAAAAAGATATGGCTAAGCTAAATATGGCCACTAGGCTGTGCAGTCTGTGCACCTGGTTTATATCAAAGAGGTAGCAAAGTGCTTGTAATGAAAACCGATGCATGCTTCTCTCTTCCCGTCTGTACAGTGAGATCTAAAACTGTAATTCTTACCATGCTTTAATAGGCAACTGTCTGATGAGCTTCTGACCATTCGTGAGGCACTGGAGAAGGAGACACAGCTGAGGGAGCAAGCTCGCCGAGAGAAAGAGGAGCTCTTGTACAGGGTCCTTCACGGCGATTCGGGTCATCCCTTTGCTATCTCTGCTGAGACATCACTCATTGTTACATAGCACATTGAGAGGCCAAAGACTCTGGTTTGGTACAAAAACAGAAAGGGAGGGAAGGAGACCATGATATGACTGTTTCATCATTTCATTCCAGTCCAGGGGTGTTCAATTTTTTTTTTTTTTAATCCCATGGACTAAGGTGGCCTTCAAGGGACATGCCACAGGTCACACTCCTCCCCAACAAATGAGGGCCAACTTAAGGAAATGCAAGTAGAGATGACATTCACATTAAATGAATTAAATAATAACTCCCTGATTATTTAATAATTTCTCATTTCTGCCACATTAATCATCACAATGTATTGGCTGTCTCTGGAGGGGATCACACCTAAGGGTGGCAGGGTGGACTTAGGTCCAGGTTGTGCACCTCTGTGCTGGTCCTGGAGTTACTCTACACTACGGTCTTAGGACAATTCTTGCTTGGAATTTCTTCTACAGATGCCTTTGTTCTTTGAAACCCTGAAGAATGGGACTTTTCCATCTTCCTCTCAGTGGCCAGTTTCAGTGCTAGTCAGGGAGTTCAATCTTCTAATATTTTGTGGTATACAATGGTCAGGTCAGGTCTTGCTCTTGTCCTTCCCCCAAGAAGTAGCAGAGTTAACTACCTCATATAATAGACCATGTGAGGGGGTAAAAAGAAATGAGAGAAAAAGGAGTAGGAGCTACAAATAAATTGCACTGTCTCAGCTCTTCACATTCACACACCTGTGAGATACTAGAGTAGGTAAAGTAAAAGATCCATTCTTGTTTAATTTCAACTGATGGAACTAGAGCCAAACCTAAATTCTAAAGCAGTTGGACCTTAAGCCAATGCTTTATAGAAGTTGAACTTATTTGTAACTAAGTTTCTTTCCCCTTTGCCTCTTTGCTCTGCTATGTCCCCATGATGTTTCTTTCATCTTGTCTCCAGCCCATGGGTGACACAAGCTTAAGTCATCTTTAGCTGTGCTGGGATTAAGGTAGTATTATCACTTTATTCCAATTTGGTCAAGGGTGACCTTTCTCACCTTTTATCTTGGAATAAATTCAGGTAACTATATGACTAGTGACTTAAAACTGGGACAATCGTAGGGCTGTCACCATAGATTTAGGATAGGAATTGCCAGTGGGGCAACAATTTTATAATTTTCTACTGATTTAAGGATGGGTGGATAGCACTTAACTCAGTAGTGGAGAAAGACCTTAAGGCAAGCTTTTGATGGGACTGCTTATCCTTGATCACCTCTCATGAGGCTAAGAAAAGGTTTAAAAAATTACTCAGTTATGTGAGCCTGATTGTTTTGGGTCTCCCCATTTCCTTTGTTGTTAGAATTATGGTCAGTCCCTCCCCACATCCTCTAATCATCTGAATTTCTAGATCAAATAAGTGGCTCTCACAGATTTGGGAGACAATGGAAAAAGCACACATTTTAATTCATTTGCTTCCAGAATTTTTTTTTTTTTAAAAGCTCTTTTGCCTTCTTTGACAGGCTCTCTCTTTGCTGGTTCAGAATTTTGAGAATGGTATATTAGAAAGGTTCTCCAAAATCAAGCACTCAGAGATCCAAATTCTTATTATATGTAACTGTCTTGTAAAGCTGATAAATGACAATGCCCTCTACTGGCTGTAGGGTGGTGCTACAAGTTACACAAAGAAATGATTGTCAAATTGTAAGAACTACTATAGAGGTATAATGATTTGAATTCAAACAAATTGGATGTAAAATGTATTGTTCTAATTAAGAGATTAAATTGGTGTTTATTGTGGTTCTAGTGCAATGTAGACACTGAATGCAGTGAATAAATATTGGTTCTTAGAATTATTGCTATATATTCAAGGAAAGCTGGTAAAGTTATAGTGTCATCCTGGAAAAACATTACAAAGGTTTAAATAACTTCTGAAGCTCCCTCTAGCTAAATGCAATGACCTGCGTGCTACAAAATCAGAAGAATTTTCACATTCTTGAGTAACCATCTTCAACATATCATCCCATGATTTCTAGCCAGCACAACCAACTAACAAATTGTTCCCAAACAAAACTGTTCCCAGATCATGGGAAGTAATTTTTTTGCTCTCCTCTGCCCTGATCAGACCACATTTGGAATACCACATCCAGTTCTGGTGCCACAATTCAAAAAAGATATCATCAAACAAGCAAGTTCAGCGGAGGGCAACCAAGATGGTGAGAGGTCTAGAAACCAACCTTTATGAAGAATAGATAAAGGATCTGGATGCATTTAGTCTACAGAAGAGAGAAGACTGAGGGGAGATATGATAGCAGCCTTCAGATATCTGAAGGGTTGTCATATAGAAGAGGGAATGCACTTATTCTCTATTGCCCCAGAGTGCAGAACCAGAACCAGTGAATTAAAGCTACAAGGAAGTACTGTAGGTTCAGGCTAGATATCAGGTAGAACTTTCTGACTGATGGCTTTCAGTAGAATAGGCTGCCACATGAAGTGGTGAGTTCTCTCTCACTGAAGTCTTCAGAAGCCGGAGGGTCATCTGTCAGAGATGCTGTAGTGGATCCTGTACCAGCAGGGAATTGAACTAGATGACTGAGTTGGACTATGATTCTAGGAAAACTCCATCAAAGTTCTTATTCAATGCTGGCACTTACCAGAGGAAAGGCTAATGCAGTAATCGACGAAAAATTTCCTGGGTAACCTCACTCTGTCCATTAATTTGACTGGTTCTCTTGATTCATCATATTGGCCAAGCCTAGTTCTTAGGAAATGAGTTTTGTAGGAACATCTCCTGTGTTTTGCAGAATGAAAGACTTACACAAAGGAGTGTACAAGCTTACATATCATGGCACTAAATTATGCCACTATTCTGTCTTTTTCAAGACAAGCAATGGATAAGTGGTGTCTTATAGATAACTATTCCAAGAGAACCCCACTGAACATAGATTGCAGCTTGCAGGACCAAGTATATACTTGGGTTCTGAAATGATGAGGTAATGAAAGATGAGAATGCACATTAATGAAGAAGCCAGCAGGTGAGAGGTCATCCTCAGTATAACAGACACAGACTCTATTCCAAGAATGCCTATCATTTTTGTCAAATCCCATTTACAATTGTAAACTGTGTTTATTTTCCTGATCTTGAAAATCTGGTCCAGGAGAGATGTTCTGGTTTTGGTTTTTTGTTCGCTTCAAGAGGTTAAAACTAAGAATTTGTTGCAGGGAGACATTTTCACATAATTGCAAATAAGCATTGATCACTGTGACATGAGTAATATTTGAAATGGTCCTCATAGCTCAAGTTCTTACAACTTGAGTAACAGTTGTAAACTCCAGTTTCATATTACATGAAACATTGTGATTGCTAGGGTCACTAGATCTGGGATGCACAATTCCAGATAAGAAGCAGAGGGCAGCAAAAAGTTATACTTCCTGTATACTTTCTGTCTCTCTTTACTGCCATCTAGTGATCCAGATTTTAGCAGCTCAGATCTCATAGCTTAATTATTTCCACCAGCAGCAGTTCACTCATACACGTGTGCCTTAGAAAATCACTTTATCAACAAATATGTCATCTAGCTTTACTGCCTGTTCTGTACGTCAACTAGAGGTCCTTCAATTTACTACTGGTTAAAGAATTGAGTTTTTAATGAAGAACACATGGAAGTCTTATTCCTGGACTAGCTCAGAGAAAGGCTCAAGTCAACCACTGCCATTTTTCCCTATATCTTTATCCCCAAAACCAATTAATACAATTCTGTATGAAAGTTAATGTTTAAAGAAGTATTTGTATTTTTCAATATATTTTCTTTAGAAGTTTGTAGCTCTTTGGCCTTTTCCTTGAAATGCCTCTGTTTAGTCCAGTTAGGACCCTACCTTCTAAATTATTTCTGTCCACATTTCCCAGGCCAGAAAATCCCCAGTCAGATTTTAATATCCATCTATGCGCAGCATTGAGAAATGGGCTAGTTTGGGGAAGTATTGTAGTCTTCCAATGTCTGCACTTCTGTGCTTATTACCTAAAAAATAGCTTCTTCTAAAATCTGTTGAATGTCACTGAGTACACTTACAATTGTCTGCTAGTGTAAGATTGGTTTCTGGATAGAACTATTTAAACTAGAAATGGTTGGCTGCAGCATGCCTCTGTGCACATGTAATGCCAGAGCAAAGCCAGAGATTTAAAATACCTTTTCCATATTGATGATGCATCCAACAGCTTTGCAACTAGTCCAAACTTTAACGATGAGCATCTTGTGGAAGGCAGTATTGTACATATATATATCTCACTTCAGCTCTCACTTCAGCTCCTAAGAAATCCTTTGAACTGTTTTTTTGGATCTAAAGAGGAAAAATAGATGCCATAAGATATGCTACTTAGAAATGGTAGGGACAAATGATAAAATTAATATCAGAAGTATGAAGAAAAGCCATGAAAGTTATTTAAAAATGTCATCTTATAGGTGCCTATTTCTCTTGCTGTGTGAACATTTTGTTGTTATAGCTTCTTTTTATTAAAGCACTCCAGAAATAATACTCTGATGTTTATGACTGAAAATGTGAGGAAGGTAGGGGAATATGTTTGCATATTGGTGCAGCTAAAAGTAAGGGCTAGACTTAGTTTGATCTATGCTGGATCCTGTAAGAACTGATTATTACAATCAGTAATGGTCCATTTCATGATATGCAACCATTTAGTATAACAATACCTTCTGTTCAGTAACAGAATAACATTTCTGCCCATTTCCCAAAAAGAGACCCTCCCCTTAATGCAACTTCCAAAACCATAAGAAGTAGATTTCATGAAAACAAAGCAAATATCTTCTACCAGGAAAAGGGTTTGAGAAAGTGTTTCCAGAGTATGGAATTTGCTGGTTGTTTGGGTGAGCAATATAGAAACAGCCAACAAACTCCCTTATCCCTATTATTATCCCTACTATTGCTTTTCTTTGTCTTTTAAATTCTTGCAAGCTGTCTTGTGATGGTCATACGAAAGACAGAATAATGTATTGAAAAAATATAACTTAAGGCTTACATAAAAACCGTAGGTAAAGCAAATGTGGGTAGTTGGCAATGTAATTCCTTTCCCACACTTCTGCTGGTATCTGTAACTGAAGGAAATTATTCAGGGTTAGCAAACCACCCAACAAGAGAAGTCATTGTTTATTATTGTTTTATTCTGCTCCTGGCCATTCTGAGAAATCAGCCCCATCACTATTCATAGATCACGATAGCTTTTTGTTCAGACTTCAGAGAGAAAAATGCCACAGATCACCCATAGAGCAAAAGTTTGCACAGCTTATTCTGTTCAAGGCAAGTTCACCTCATCACCTACCTTCTGTCCTAGATAGTCCCAAGTGAAGTCCACAGCAATTTCTGGCTGTCCAAAGACAGCACAAGGACACTGCAATTGTCTCTGGCCTGAAAGGATGCCGTTAAAGAGTTGCTGAGGAGGGGTTGGAAAAGTTGGAAATCAAAGACAAAAAAATTGTCCTTTTTTTCCCAACACTTTGGCCATTATATATTCAAATATCAATTGCCTCCATGCTCTGAGGTGTCTACTCCTAGCTATGAAGATACCAAAGTGATGAAACATTACAGAAAAATATGTAAGAAATGGAGTCTGGGTGGGGAATCTACAGGAGGGTGGTCATGGCATTGTGATCCAAGCTTCACCCCTTTAGTATGTGCAGGTTTTCTGTGCTGGCACTGCTGGCTGCCAACCAGCAAATTAGCAAGCTGGATGCCTGCCACAGTCCAGAAACCTGCAAACTCAGGCAGAGCTTTTGGAAGCAAAGAGTCTTTTTTACCTAGAGCTAGAGACGGCAACTGTAACCTAGTCAAGCCTTGGCATGGGTAGAAACCAGGAATCTGATGAACAAACAACAAATCCAAGGGAAAAGACAAGAGATGTGGTGAGGTGGAATCTGGAGTTCAAAGCACGGTGCAAGGTAAACCTGGCAGAGCTGAGGCTTGAAAAGTTGTTCTCAGCATTATCTCTCAGGGAGTGAGGCCAATCAAGAAGCCACATTGAGCCATCACCCAGATTCACAGATGAGGTACATTACTCCTTGGAGTCTACTCTCTTACCCAGTCTATCTGACCTGTGGAGCTCACCCTCTGATCCTGTATCTTGAAAGCATGCCTCTGCTTGGGACTGAATGGGTGAACCACAGAGTCTGAAAGGCTGTCAGTAGGTGCAGGCGGAGAGTCCTGAAGGCTTGCTGGGTCTGCCTCAGGTAGAGTGGAGTCATTGGCTTTGGAGCCAGGTCTATTATACCTAGAAGCCCTGGCTCTACTTCCTCCTCCTCCTCATCAGAAGATAAGTCCAGCAGAGCTACAACAGCAGGTGACATCCACGCATGTACAAAAAGGGCAAGGCTTGGATTGTGAGACAGCCTCCACCAATTTGCAGATGTTGACCCCCATTGTGGCCATGCTGGATGGAGTTTGTAACATGATGCATCTTTTGTCATTGCCACTCTTGCACACCAAAAGATGTCGATGCTGCTGCCCCAGCTAGTTTAGAACACCAAGCAAAGATACGGTGACCATGTGGTCAAAACAGTAACATCCCATAGTCTTCCTAGTCGGGGCATAAATTCTATGGAACTAAGTCAAAGTATATTGAGAATGAAGTCTCTCAGATACTTCCCGGAACAGCCCTGTTCCTTAATGATGAGTTTACCTATTTGATTTGTGAAACCCAACTGACATCCATTTATGGAAGCCTAGTTACTAAGCTAATTTAGAGACTGAACTCTAATGAGTGTCAATGGAAAATATAAATTCAGTATAAAGCTCAGCTTCCAAATACTGCCTAGATGTTTAGCTTTAATCATGCTTTTGCCAAACA